AATGATTCCCAGTGCTGAACATAACTTGATATGAATATCATATATGATATTTATCACATATTAAATATGATACAAATTGTTAATTCCCCTTCCTGATTAATTGCTGAGAACTCTTGACAAAATGTCCATTAACTTTGAACGTCACATTCCCTTAAATCAAATGCCACTAACATTCAAATACAGATATCATTACCAGCGTAAAGAGGTCTGTCACCAGGCTGGGCAGACACTGCAGGTGACTTGTCTGTCAGTAGATAGTGCTAGCTGATATGTTCCTTACAACTCATTACATGGCTCACAATTACCCGTGAAGATCCGGTGTAGACTAGGTCTTCAGCAACCCATGCTTGCTGTAAAAGGCGACTATGCTTGTCGTAAGAGGCGACTAACGGGATTGGGTAGTCAGGCTCGCTGACTTAGTTGATGTATATCAACATATACCAATTGCGTGGATCGAAGCTCATGATGTCTATCACTGGATGGTCCGGCCCAGACTCGATTATTTACAGACTGCCATCATTAAGCTGGAATACTGCTGAGTGCGGCGTTAAAAAACAAACAAACAAACAAAACATGTCCCCTTTATGAAATGTGTCCTATGTTGTGACAAGCTGCCCTAAAAATATTGGTTATGAAGATTTTAGAAGTAATGTTTTTTGAGGTGATGGAATCAAGAGGTTTTCTTTCTGTAGTATTAAGTTTTAAGATAACAACATGTAGCTCGCCTTACATTTTTTCTGGAACATTTAGAAAACTAATGATCAATTCATCGGAAACTAAATAATTGGCTGAGAATAGGTTTACAAAAGGGCTACCATAGCCGTCATGCTAAAAATGGGGTCAAATTTACATCTCGTTAAATTTTGACATCATTGCTGGCTATATACCAGACATGCAATGCTTCACGATAATGATATCTGAGAAATGTCTTTCAGTGGCACTTGAGAAGCTGTAGAAAGCTGTTGATTCCTGAGAACCATTTTGAAATGTCATCAATTCCAAGCAAATGGTCGGCCTTTCCTAGTCAGTTGTCTTGTTAACTGTACATGTCTGAGCACCATGTCAACAAATCTGTCACAAACAACTATACTTCCAAGTGCATAACAAGGAACATATGTCCATGATGGTACAGAGTCTGACAACAGGCAGGAACAGATGTCTTTGATGGTACAGAGTATGACAACAGGCAGGAACAGATGTCCTTGATGTTACAGAGTATGACAACAGGCAGGAACAGATGTCCATGATGGTACAGAGTCTGACAACAGGCAGGAACAAATGTCCTTGATGGTACAGAGTCTTACAACAGGCAGGAACAGATGTCTTTGATGGTACAGAGTCTCACAACAGACAGGAACAGATGTCCATGATGGTACAGAGTCTCACAACAGGCAGGAACAGATGTCCTTGACGGTACAGAGTCTTACAACACACAGGAACATATGTCCATGATGGCACAGAGTCTGACAACAGACAGGAACAGATGTCCTTGATGGTACAGAGTCTGACAACAGGCAGGAACAGATGTCCTTGATGGTTCATAGTCTGACAACAGGCAGGGACCAATGGCCTGGATGGTACAGAGTGTCTGACAACAGGCAGGAACACATGTCCATGATGGTTCATAGTCTGATAACAGGAAGAAACACATGTCCATGATGGTACAGAGTCTGACAACTGGCAGGAACCAATGTCCTTGATGGTACAGAGTCTGACAACAGGCAGGAACAGATGTCTTTGATGGTACAGAGTCTGACAGCAGGCAGGAACAGATGTCTTTGATGGTACAGAGTCTGACCACAGGCAGGAACAGATGTCTTCGATGGTACAGAGTCTGACAACAGGCAGGAACAGATGTCTTTGATGGTACAGAGTCTGACAACAGGCAGGAACAGATGTCTTTGATGGTACAGAGTCTGACAACAGGCAGGAACCAATGTCCTTGATGGTACAGAGTCTGACAACAGGCAGGAACAGATGTCTTTGATGGTACAGAGTCTGACAACAGGCAGGAACAGATGTCTTTGATGGTACAGAGTCTGACAACAGGCAGGAACAGATGTCTTTGAATGTACAGAGTCTGACAACAGGCAGGAATCAATGTCCTTGATGGTACAGAGTCTGACAACAGGCATTATACGCTCAGTGAGCCTGACCACCCGATCCTGTTGGCTCTTACTACAAGCCAGGTTGCTGAAGACCTATAGTAACCGGGATCTCCAAAGGTGTCAACTTCCAAGCTGTTTCAATTTTCACCTTTAACTATTCAATGGTTTGATTCTCGGGTTTTGATTTCATGAATTCATAATGGCATCCGAAATTCCTTCAGCTTATATAACAATGTTCATAATTAGAGCAGGATGATCTCCAAGACAAAGAGATCCTATTTCTGTGCTCAAATACAGCAATGTCTCCCCCGTGCCCTCACTGCCAACAACAACTTGATGAGGACATTTGTATCATATTAACACAGTGCTTTTGTTACTATTGGTGTTGGAAGCTTTAACCTTCAGAACCAAGATCTAAAAACAACAAGAATGTTTGCATGTCAAATATGTTCCATATTCAGGGTTTTACAGTAGGGTTGGCGTATTGGCATAAACACTGTATTGCAACATATCACAAAATGGAGAGCTGTATTTCCATACATACTGCAAGATGTATTGGTGTCCAAATTATATACATTTGTACTTCTTCATGCAATAATCCAGACTTCAGACTTCAGACTGCAAGACGGGTAGTATGGATAAACGAGACTACATATTACGTCATCAATATGGAATGTAATGTCAACAGTGTGAAGTGTGTGCTGTTTACATGGTTTCGATAGGAACCAAGTCCATCCAAATGCCTCAAGATAGTAGATTTATATAATATGTTATTAATTCTTCTGTGGCTGTATGGGAAAATATGGATACACAAGGATTGTATTGCAACATGTGTCTTGCTGACGACCGTATTGCAATACAGTAAACTAGGTTTATGACGAACACGCTTATAACGAACTGACAGATATAACAAAGTTATTGGCGTTATAAGCCTTTTAAAATTAGCAGTCATGACAACTCCCCACATATTATACTGAACAACAAAAGTTCCTGTGACGTTGAATAAGATTTAATACAAAGTTATGTTTTTTACCAAATCTGTGTGGTGATGCCTGCCACAAGATTAAACAAGAAAACATTGATGCAGAGCATCAAAGTTCCCCGCCATATGTGATGCCTCACAAACGCATAATTATGATGTTACTGAAAGGCATGATGGAGCATAATTATATTAACCACAAATAACACAACGCTGTTGTGGAAAAAAATATTATTTATTTTGAGTATTGGGCAATACAGTTGATACATTTGCATAGGGTAGGTCTATTTAAAAATAGCTTCTTGTTTAACGCCGCTCTCAGCAGTATTCGAGCCATATGACGGCGATCTGTAAATAATCCAGTCTGGACCAGATCATCCAGTGATTGACACCAAGAGCAACGAACTACGCAATTGGAATATGATGTTATGCATCGACCAAATCGGCGAGCTTGACTACCCAATCCTGTTCGTCGCCTCTTACGGCAAGCATACGTTGCTGAAGATCTATTCTAACCTGGGTCTTTATTTAAAAAGTAGATCGAAGAAAATAGAAGCAATTTCTGGCCCAAATGTAAACATGTGGAAAGAGTATCAAAACTGCCAACAACATTGGCAGATGCACATACTCAAATAATAGATCACATTCTTTTTACACTTGGCATTTGGTTATAATAATGTAAATGAAAATACTAAGGGCTCCATATGGCAAAAAAGTCATACTAGATAAGGTCTATTGGTCACAACTCAAAGTATTATCACGTAGTTGGAGAACATTTCAATACCGGGACTAATCAATAACGGAGATTCCTCGTCTCTTGCTTTACGTTTTTTGGTCAGTTTCTTTTTGTATTTCTTTCTTTCAAAGAATAGTAATTGTGATCATGATGAGTTGAGTTACTTGGTTTTTTTCTATGTACTCTTTTTTTATCCAGTGTCAGTAACTGTTGTGGAATGTGGTTCACTTGTAACAATGATTGGTTTGAGTTCATATGATGATGATTTATTGGTTTGTCGTTTAACGCCGCACTCAGCAATATCCCAGCTATATGACGGCGTTCTGTAAATAATCGAGTCTGGACCAGACAATCCAGTGCCTAATATCATGAGCATCGATCCACGCAATTGGGATCGATGTCATGCATCAACCAAAGCCTGGCCATCCGATCCCGTTTGTCGCCACTCACGACAAGCATACTCGCCTGATATACTGTTAAGATGTAACAGTACAATTTATCTATACTACACAGAAAAAACGATCGTTTAGCGATTAAACGGTAAACTAAACGGCAAAATGTCTCCACTTTTAAAACGCGTTTAGCGTTTTGTTTCTGAACACTACTTGTTAGTTTCTAAACACCAACGTTTAAGTTTCTAAATATGCATGTTTAGTTGCTAAACACCTTGTATTAAACGCTATGCGTTTAGAAAACTAAACGCTGAAATGTCTCCACTTTTAAAACGCGTTTAGCGTTTAGGCCCGTTTAGTGCCTAAACGGTCGCCTGTATAACTGAATTAAGCTAGAATCAATATCATATGATGTCTTCATACCTATAAAAAGCACACAACTGGGATATACACATTTTTAACAACAGAAATGTAGAATTAAACATTTTATTTTGCCATTAGGAAACATGTCAATCTAGTCAAGTTAATCATGCATGCTTCAACTTTCTTCAAGAAGTGAACACAATTTTTGGTTTTTGAACCAAAGGTTTCCTTGAAAAAGAGTTCTTGCATAACGCCAAACATCTGTGCATACTGCCTCGGGTAATCCAGCCAAGCTGCATAGTATATGGCCAGCAGCTGGACCACTGCCTTCCTGAAGTTCCTTATGACAGGAAGGTTTACCCGGTCGGCGTGTATGATTGCCTCAGTTATCCGGTTGACCTTTACAAAGATCCGAAGCATCGGCCCTACTGGCAACTTTGTTTTCTCGGCTTCCTCGTCAATTTGTTTAGGAGACAACTCCTGCAACCAACATATATGATGATGATGATGATGATGATGATGATGATGATGATGATGATAATAATAATAATATCATATTTAATATTTCTATTATTTTTTTCATGACATTTATAAATCAGTATAGATCTAATAAAGAAAAGAATAACCTTAATCAATACACGCACTGATCTAAAAAAAATACTACCGCCCCCCAGCAATTAATCAAGTCTTACAAATAACTCCTTACATGCCGAAAATGTCTAATCTTTGTAAAATGAAATAGAATAGACAAAAGACGGTGAAAGGGTAAAAGACACCTTTGATTTTTTCCAATATAGAGGTGCTTTTCGCTCCTCGGCCCCTGTCATATCCTGTTTCCCTCACCATATAGCGAAAAGCCTCAATATCTTCCATTAGTTCCTGCAAAAGTCAAAGCATGAATTTATTTCTAAATGGACGTTCAATAATTAAAATGAATAGTGATCATTTCCAATATAAAGTTTTAGTAATTTTGCTAATCTAAAATAATGTGTTTTAGTCTTACATCAGCTTCGCCAGTGGGGGGCATGATTTCCTTCACGGCGTTGAATAAATCATTTGTTGATTTTTCCACTGACCTCCAAATTTCCCCATCTTTCATTAATTTGATCTCCATGAAAATCTGCAATATATGAAATAATAGATGTAGAATACGAGCAAGATGCTGCAGTGCATGTCACAACAAAGTTTCGGTCATGTTTGTATCGGACAAGGTGTTGAACAAGTAAAATTATCCATTCTTTCCATAACATAAGAATTAGGACAGGCAAAAACAAGTTTTTCTGTGATAGACCTACAAGACCATGCACAAGTAGCAACACGGCTACTTTCTTAATCAACGTCAAATGCATTGTATTTACAAAAAAATGTATGTAAATCTTCATTCTACATATCCCTACATCGTGATGATTCAATTTATTGCCTTAGATGTTGACCAAATATATGTTTTAGCTGCCAAAATAGAAAATAGAAAAAATCACCTGGAAGATCCTCACTGGTGTAAGATGGCGTCTCCGTCAAGGGTACAAGGACGCGTCGAAAGGGCAAGGTCACAGGCGGGATAACTCTTAATCTACACATTAGTCGTTTAGAAACTAAACAGGTGATGAGCCTTTAAATCATACATGACGAATGTGTCCAAAACTATTTATTCACATTAGTTTTTGTTAAAATAGAGACAGTACCACTTGTTTCTTTAATATAATAACTTCTGGTTTATTTTGTAAATATAAACGATATGTGTTTAGAAACTAAACAACTATGTTCATATACATATAGAAACTAAACTATGACGCTTAGAAACTAAACATGCATGTTTAATCAAACTAAATACACTTCGTTTAGAATGGTGGCGTTAAAAATTCAAACTAATTTTATAACAGCTACACAAATGCAGTTGTAGAAGTCCACAGTATGTTAAGATATGTGATGGATTATTTGTATGGTCACTGAGAGTATGTTTTTATACTGGGATCTATCTGTTACTTAAATCACCAAAGAAAGAGTAAAATCGTAAAGATTTCAGTGAACAGGTTATATTTCCGACAACTATATCCATAGTATTTCCTCTATTATTAATACTTTGTTAATTTGAAAAAAAGTTCTTTAAGGATTCCTTTTAATATTTGCTGCATATGTGTATTAAACAGTAAATGTTTAATATCTAAACGGTACCGAGTAAGGCGACAAAATGGAAATTGTTTAGATATTAAATGTGAACGATTTGTTTCTAAACAAAATCCGTTTAGTTACCTAAACGATCTAAACACCCATTTTTTACAGTGTACTAAACAGAAGTAAAACCGCTTGTCCATTCGGATCAATCTGACCCAAACCATTCCGCTGATGAGAGTCAAATAATGCATACGAATCAAAATCCGTAAAAATTGCAATGGAGACATCATTAAAAGTTACCAAAAGTGACGGGGATATCAATATTGCTTTTTGAAATGATTCTATGAAATTTGTTTTCCCTGCTTCAATATTTGGAGCAACTGTGACGGAGCCATAAAACTGATCTGTTATGTAGACAATATCGTTTGGGGGGGTGGCTGCTGGGAACTGATTATGACCTAAATACCCCTCATAGCCTTCGGTGTTAACTATGTGACTGTAGAGAGCTGTGCCTTCATCCAACAGATTATCGACGTCAGTGGAACACGGTACAGACGCAAATAGATTTGAGCCATGGGACACAAAATATATGAGTGACCAGAGCTACGGCTGTACATTGAATTCCATGAAACGGTTGAAAAATATTACAGCCTTGATGCAAATTCGCCGACACACTACTCCGATTTTGCTTTGACTTTGCTACCAAACGTTTCACATGTGGCTATGCGCGGTGCACTGATTAAAAAAAAAACACGGGGGCTGGGTTAATTCAATATACGGAATATAACTATTCCAAATATTTCGAGTGAACATGAGCATCCAAACAATCAAAAGTGTGGTATGTAGAATGTGGAATTCAGCCATATTACATTCAAAGTGAGATGTCGTCGTTGTTCATGAATAAGCATATTCAGAACATAAGTTTTATTATGCTGTTATTTACGATCTCCGGAGCACAGTTCTTCTTTTGTATACACCGTGAAAATCAGAAAATTAGTCCTTGAGGAAAAAAGGACATCGGATTACACATGAATGGTTTAATAATGTCAGCTAATGACCAGGAACGGTCAGATGCATCAATTAACTACATAAAGACGATTTTGAAGTATCTCTTATTGCTGGAAAAGAACAGCATCAACATTCCACGCACATGATTTGTATGGTTTTTTTTCCGTAAATGCGGGGCTTGAAATTTCAAATAAACCAACATGTCGACATACATGCTACAAAATTAACGTTTCCCGTATACTTCCCCATGTGATGGAGGCAAACACCTTTTCCATTCGTGAACTCGTTTGTGATTGGTGCTTGCTGCTTGCTGCTTGCTTCCGGGTTACGGAAATGGGCGAGCGGTGCCGAATGGCCGAACAGTGTGTTTCGCATTCGTGACCAACTCGTGTTATTCCGGGACAAGCCAAATAGCGACTCGTGCCCCTCTCGTGGCAATTTTTGCGACCGGGTTCCGTCTTAGCGCAAACGGGCATACCTAAAACAATTGTCAACTCGTTGCATAATGGTTAACGTATATTTACCCGTATATTATATATATTTCAGATGCAATTCAAAGCACACCTAGACATGCGAGATTATACAGTATGTTTGAACACATTTAAATGTGTCTTGGGTATATGTTTAGATGCAAGACTACAAGGCTGTAATGAATTATGTCTGCTGATAAGTTCAAGGATTTTATAAAAACAATTCTATCGTAACGATCGGCGAGTCTACAAGGAGTTGTAGTCAAAACGGCCTCGAAAGGTAAAGTCAAAACGGTCACAACTAAAAAGTAATAACGGTCACACAGAAAATATAGAAGACAATCTCAAGTTTGCATTAATTTGTTTTACAGAAAAAGAGAACACATGTGAAGATAGATTTAAAGAAATAAAGAGTCCCAAAAGAGAAGAAGAAGGGTTAACAAATGTAACAAAATAATTAAAAAATGAAAAAAAGAAAGACAGAATAGACTGGAATAAAAGCAAGCTGAATTTCAGATATTTGTAAGTAATTTGTGTTTGAAAAGGAAGCTTTGATTATGGCTGAAAGTGGAGAGGGTCAACAGCGGACGATAGTTGTTTTTTTTATAGATCTTTTTAAAGAATACGTGACTTGGAAAGCTTCTTGTAAAGCAACAAAGAACGCGCTGCGTGTGAAGACGGACGCAAGGTTTTAACTACTTGGGGATACAGACGAATACGATTGGTCCCTTTGTGGTGTTTAGGAAGCTGTCGCTAGGTGGAGTTTGTGTTTGAGGGGGGGTGGGGGGAGAGTGCCCTTTGAAATACATACCAGAGACAGACCTGGTGCCTCTAGGGTTTGGTGTTGACGTCCTGAGTGATGGATTGCAATGATGTGCCACGTGGAAGTGCCTTGGCCATGGTTTTGTGCGATGTCGTCTTTGTATAGCGATGTGGGTCCAAGAAAGCGGAGTCGTCAAATGGAATGGGTGGCGTTATGACTACTTCCGGGACAATATTTCTTGGGTCATTGGCCATGAGAAAACAAAAAAAGTTTTACTGTTGAGAGTGAATGAGAGTTCATCTTTGAAAGTCTAGGGTTTTTGCTTAGTTTCCAACAATGATGTATTCCTTTGCCTCAGGATTTGGAAAGCTGGCATTACCACATAGGTACCATTGGACAGCGGACCCTATTAATTTTCCTAGTTTTGCCTCAACGTGTGACCCGTGAAGATTCAGGGGTAGAATAGAACAGCAACCCATGCTTGTCGTAAAAGGCGACTAATGGGATCGGGTGGTCAGGCTCGCTGACTTGGTTGATGCATGTCATCGATCCCAATTGCGTGGATCGATGCTCATGATATTAATCACTGGATTGTCTAGTCCAGACTCGATTATTTACAGACCGCCGTCATATAGCTGGAATATTGCTGAGTGCGGCGTAAAACAACAAACCAACCAACCAACCTCAACATGTTGGAAGGTTTGGACCAGACAATCCAGTGATTGATATCATGAGCCTCGATCCACGCAGTTTTGATCGATGGCATGCATCAACCAAGTCAGCGAGCCTGACAACACGATCCCGTTGGTCGCCTCTCACGACAAGCATTGTCGCCTTTTAGGGCAAGCATGGGTTGACCTATTCTCTACCGGATTTTCACAGGTCTGTATCCTAAATATCCTAAGTAAAACACAGTGATATGTTCGCGAAAGGAATAGGACATAGTAAATTTAATTGTTGCTAGGCTATGGGCGCAAATATACAAATTGTGGCTTGTCCATTCGTGACCACTGTTGTTGGGAAAAGACTTGCTGCAGATTTTACTCTGTGGAATGATACAGTGAGTGATACTTGTGATTTTGCGACAGATAAAAGGGACACAATAAGCCAGTGCATATGCATGATCTACATGTTGTTGTCGGCGCTCACCTTGTTTGAGCATTTGTTCAATAAAAAAACACATTCACGATACTATTTGTGTAGGTATATGGCTATAGAAAGTAATAAAACGTAGCCCAATGGACTTTGACGTCACAGACGTCTTGAAACGTATGACGTCAGAACTGGCGATGATGACGTCATACCACCTGTATTTGAACTCTGTGGCCTTCTGTGACTGCTTTCAGTGACGCATTGTGTGGTCAAATTGTAGTTGGATTCGGCCAGAAAACTGATGAAATTCAGAGGAGGTTATCTTGCCCAATGCATCAACGTGTATGACTAGATTTGGAATTGAAGAAATGTCATAATTGAACTCCTGATTGACATGTAATATACCGCCACGGAATGCCTTTTAAAAAGAGTCACAGAAAGAAAAAGAGTTGTATTATTTACGTTGATCATTTAAACTATCTACAAAGTCACGTGACCGCAGCCATACTGCTACGAAGCACAGGAACTCGACATTCGTGACCAACTCCTGTTATTCCGAGACAAGCCG